GGAAGGAAGGAAGGAAGGAAGGAAGGAAGGAAGGAAGGAAGGAAGGAAGGAAGGAAGGAAGGAAGGAAGGAAGGAAGGAAGGAAGGAAAGAAATATATATTTATTGGATTAAATTATGATTATTGTTTAAAATAATGGAAGTGGCTGAAGCTACTTTAGAAAAAAAAAACAATTGCAGAGCATAAACTCACTATAATTATTGTCATGTGAATACCCCTACATAATCAGAAAGCCTAGCTGATCACTATGAGAGTTGCATAGGCGTTATATATGTCTGAGCAGCATGTATGCAACGACAGAACCTTTAAAATATGACATTTGCAGCATAGGGTAATCTGGGAATCACATTGCATGCAAATAGAATGACTATCAAAAAATGAAGCCATTACTCTGACAGACTTATCTGTCAAAGGTATATGTATATTGTTTCTTCCTATGAATTTCTAATCTATGCATTTTCAAACATCTCACTATGAAATATGATTATCTTTTGAATATAATTTTATGATGTTGTCTACAGGTCATTTAATCTCTTGTTCTCTTCAAATGGAGAAAAGTGTAAATCATGGATGCTTCAGGAGAAAATATTTCCCAAGGGTATTCTGCATTACCATAGGCAACAGCTGATAAACACAGATTTGCAGTATCATATCTTATCATTTCATGAGGGACATTCTGTAGAATGAATTACTTATTTTCTGGCTTTTTCCTTCTGTAAAAGGAGTTTGGAAGCCAATATTCCAGCTAGAATTACACCTTGTGTGAGACTTTCATGTATTTTCAACAGAAAAATTATAGACCATACTTCCTTTACGTAATATGATACATTTCTTGTTATATAGTACTTTAAGCTATAAATAAAAATTATGAAAAGCCCCTGTATCCATGCACAAGTTAAAAAGATGTTTCTATAACATTTTGGAATGTTTTTTGACAATTCAGTAGCACAATATGAGAAGCCAGATAGCCTGAAGGAAAGTTCATGCCAAACTTTCTCATGCCAGATTTTCTCATGAGACCAAATGCATTTAAAAGGATCATATCCCAAGATCAGATTAAATTCTGTTTGGCAGAAAACCTAAAGAAGTCTAAATCAATTCAATACTTTCTGCAAAGTGTCGTCAATATTGTAAACCCTGTTCATTGTTCTGCCAGATGTAGTCACCTTCTACAAATTGGTTTGCTGACCATGGGAATCTGCACAGCTCAGACTTATGTATATGGATCGCTTCTTGTCCACAGCTATTCCCCATGAGAACATAAAACTATTAATGAACTTCAGAAGATGAAGTGGGCAGTACTTCATGGTTTTGCACCATAGAATTCTACTATTGCATGGATTTTAAAATTTAAAGACAAGTTATAGCAACTTTCAGTGTAGAACCTTGCAACTTTCAAATATGCAGCTAAACTACAGCAAATGAGACTCGAATATGCAGATTAGGTAATTATACTATTCATCCTCAACTGAGGGACAAATGATATTCAGGTAATGTTGGCTTAGCTTGCTGTGGCTTTCCAGATTTATCACTCACACTTCACCTTTAAACTTCTTTCAACATTTTGTTAATGATCTTTTCTAATGCGCTGTCATGTAAGCAACAAATAATGTGCTTTTCAGAATGGATTTTAAACAACTGAATCTCTGTCATACATTTTAAATATTTGACTTCAGAGGTTAACTAAATAAAGATGAGTTTCAATGACATATTACCCTTTCCCCTATAATTAAAAAAACATTTTGAAAACATACATTAATATTTATCTCACATCTTGAGCTGGTCCATCCTGGTTCACAAGAGCATTGATACCCATCGATGAGATCTATGCATCTGAAATAAAAAATGGTGTTATTCAAGTGAAGCTCTGAAATTCCAGATCCAGCACTAGTAGTATCATTCCATGCATTTCAAAATAGTGGTCTGATGTAACCTACTGTAATCCACAGTAATTTTCAATACATTTATAATGGATTTCAAATGTTTGTACTATGGGTGCTGAGGCATTTTGTAAGGATTCTGATTGTCACATTAAAAGACATTTTCTCATTTCAGCTGTTGGCATGTAAAAACTAAAGGTTTGCTTTTAAATATATTAAACACTAATTAATTCCCACTTACTGAATACTAGTTATGATAATGAACAAAAATGCAAGAGAAATTGAGATATCACTATATTATTACATTAGCTTAAGCAGGCAACATTTGTCATCTTTAAGTGTGCTTGTACTCTTACTTTACGGAAGAACATAATTAAAAGTATATTCATCAAACTTCCCATATCATTAAGTCTTAAATATTGTTAGTTAGGTACATTATCATGGAGATAATAATAGTTAAATAAAAATAGGCACCTTCCATGAAGACAAGGATTTGGCAAGCATTCATTAACATTTATCTCACAGTTTGTTCCGATGAAGCCTCTCCTGCAGTGACACTTATAGGAACTGATGCCATCAATGCAACTTCCATTGTTGAGGCAAGGAGAAGACATACATTCGTCTATATTTACTTCACATCTATCACCTATTTAAAAATCAAGAAAATGCAGCTAAGCTTTAAATTATAAATTCAAGCAACTAACAGTATATTTATTAATATTAATATTTCTACATAATTGTTTTTAGTTACATTGTTCATATAGTTCATGATATTCATCAGTAAAGAATATCCAACTGGAATTACCTATAGTATGAATAGAAAAAAGGATGGTTATATTGAGATATATAATGAAAAATTATAACTATAAAATGGTGGCACCTGTAATTGTGGCAAGGCAAGAAGCCTTTAAGTACCAGCTTGCAAGCAATGAAGAAACTGAAATTTCAAGATTAAATTTGTTACACAGTTATCAGGAAGTTGAATAGCACTAGTCTCCTGTAGGAGGAATACAAAACTAAAATGATATGTCTTGATGGTGGTCTAATTTCTCAAAATGAAATTGAAATTCAGAGGCTTTTGATGAATGATGCAAGACATAAAACTCTTTGAAATTGCTTTTTGGAAGAAATTCACTAGGAACAACATGGTGGTGCACTTTTATGCTTGTAAGTGTCACAACTTCAATCTAAATATCTTAAAATATTAGTATTTTACAAAATAGTAATTGACAAACAGCATGTACCTAGGTCGCTTGGTAGGCAGTTAGTGCCCACTGCCTGGGAGGCAGCTAAGCACCACACAGCCAGTTGCTTACGCCCACAGTAGGATGGGGGAAGAAACAAAAGGTAAATTTGAGAGCACTTACTGGTTGAGATGACAGTTCAATAGGTAAAGTAAAAGCCACATATGTAAGCAAAGCAAATCAAGGAATTTATTCACTGCTTCCCCTGGGCAGGCAGATTTTCGGCCATCTCTGGGGCCTTGGGTTAAGACAATTTAAAAGAGAACACTCTGGAATGAGTTACAGTAATCATTGACAATGATTCCATATTCACATGTTCTTCTGTTACAACCTAATTGGCTGAAAAACTAAAAATTATATTTCCTTTGCAACTTTGTGCCTAGTTTATACAAAAACAAACAAACAAACAAAACCCCAAAAACCAACCAAACAAAAAACAACAAAAACCCCCATCTCATGAGATAAGATTAGATTCTGCCAAGTAGGATTGACTCTATTGGAAAGAATAGGAATACCTTGTAATGGTATCTCCATATTTTGCCCCTTTACCAATATTAACAGGAAAATTGAACCTTTAGTCCTGCCAGTGCTAAAAAATTCAGACATCTCTAGAGGGTAAAAGTCCATTTTGTCATTCCAACTCTAGAAAGAATTTCTGAGATTTGCTGTGAGTAGAAACTATAACCATTACAGTAATTATGGTACAATGGGTTTAAAGATGAAAATGAATACATGTATCACAGGAAAATTCATTAAATTTAAACAAACAAATAAAACCAACCAACTAAAAAAAGAGGTTTTTTAAGTATTACTTCTAACAAAGAAAATAACCTCAATATTGGGACCTCAAGTGTTCTTGCCAAAATGCACAAATTCAAAATATTTTTGGCAGTTCTTGCAGAAAATCATTTACATTTAGATGTTAAAATTTCTTCTTTAAATTCAACATCCATATTCTAATAACCCCAAACAATACATTCCTAATACATCATTAATACATCCTTAGCAATAGTCCCTTAGGATCAATGGATTAATCCCTCTTGATATGAATAAACATTTTAATTTAAATTATTTCCGCAAGAAAAATGTACTAAATTTACAATTTGTTGTGCTGTAGACACAAAAGGCTGGCATTGGTTATGGCTGTAACCTAGACAGTCTGTCATTCTCTTCCAATGTAACTGTAATTTAATTTGAAACTTGCCTACTTTTTTAATCCTTTTTCAAAGTATGAAAACTTTTAATTGAAATAATCTTGCTGAATACAACCAAATGTTCTGTAAAGTTGATGTGAGACAGACTATAATACCACATAACAAACACTTTGCTTAAAATGTCACCTGCAATCTTTCTCATAGCTGAGACTATGCCAGATGTGTTACTGGGCTGAAGACACCTCTTCGAGCCCTGCTTTGCAGACCATACTTACCTTGCTAGAAATAATTCCTCCATACATCGAAGAAAAGGGAAAAGCACCTCACACATACAATGTGGGGGCCGTTAATGTATTGATGGCAACCTGGAGGCTCACCCACAAGTCACAATACTGCAGTAGGCAAGGAAATGCCTAGACATGAGAAGACTAATATAGACTAATAAGAGTGACACTAGATGAAAAGAAGACAACTATTGTCCTACTCTTTCAAATCTTCCATTCATGGGAAGGATCAGTCCATCTCATATCTTAATAAGGAAAACTCATCAGCCTTTTCTAATTCCTGCTTTATATTAAACCCATGTCACAATTGGCAATGCCCCAGCCTTTCTTGGAGCTCATTTGCACAATTCTACAATTGCATCCTAATCTAGAGATTTTCACATCTTCCATCTCGACTTTCACCTGCATCTTGTATGTATTTGGTATTGGGTCCCCAACTCCAGAAAAGGGCAACAAAGCTGGTTAAAGGTCTGGAGCACAAGTCCTATGAGGACTGAGGAAGTCGGGATTGATCAGAGAAAATGAGACTCTACAGCTACATGAAAGGTGGTTGTAGTGAGGGAGGAGTTTTTCTCCAAGGTAGCAAGTGCCAGAAGAAGAGGAAATGGCCTCAAGTTGCACTAGGGGAAGCTTAGATTGGATATTAGGAAAACTTTCTTCACTGAGAGTGATCAGACACTGAAACAGGGTGCCCAGGGAAGTGGTGGAATCACCATCCTGGGATGTGGTGTTTGAAAATACATATATTCTGGCTTGGTTACTTCATATCAAACTCGGAAGAATATATAATAGAAAGTATAAATATAATAGAACTCATAAATATATTATTATAATACATAGGTTTATGAATTATAAAAATATATAAAACCTCTATATACTAAGTGTGAAATTACTTCATTATTAGGGTTAAAGACTAAGGAAGATGAGGACTTCAATTCTGGATTTTGTTTGTTTGTTTTTTGTTTGTTTTTTTATTGTTGTTTGTTTGTTTTTGTTTTGTTTTGTGGAGTTTATAGGAGATAATAAAAATATTGTGTGCCATTTAAAAAGATTAAAAATTCAAGGTACAAATTTATGGGAATTGACTACTTTGAAAAGACAAAAAGGAAGAACACAGAATTTTGTGCAACAATAAAGTTAAATATGTTCTGCCTGGAAAATAAAAACAAATACATGATAAAAAAGCAACTGATTTCTGCGAGCATACTCAAAAATGGAAAAGAATAATAAATTAGCATGCTATACTAATTTATACACGATACAGAAAAATATAAAAAGAAAGTTGGTCTTTCTCCAGTAACTGAAAATTTTATGTCCTGTTGAAAATAGAAAGAGCTGAGAGATAAGAAGATATTTCCTTTCAGAATTGCTTAGCAGCACCTAGTTCACCTCTTCAAGTCAATTTTGGTATCAAATATTATTAGGCTATAAACAACTACTTGTGACCATTTCATGAGATTTCATAATAAACAAATGTGAATCAAAACATCAATTAATAGGTTTATCATATGTATATCATATATGTATCATATGCATCATATATCATAACCAATAATAATAATTATGTATATTAACAAAAAAATCTATAGTATAAATCTAAGGAATGAAAATTAACAAATTAAGCATGAACAGAAATGCTAAAAACCATATTGTTGAGCATATTCCAGTTTCAGAAAGAAAATCAATTATTTGTTAAATAATTTCTTACAAATCTAAAAACATACTTAAAAATAGTAACTGCAAAGAACTAGTACATTGACATTAATCTTGTGAAAAGCATAAGGTCATTTCAACATAATTTTAGCATTGTCTCATTCAGCCTGTTATGAGCAAATAATCTGTTAACAAAAGTTTTCTATGTGTAGTGCATGGAAAACTAGGGCTGATAAGGTCACTGAGCTTGTTTTTGTTGATTTCATCTTAAGTAAGATTTATTATAGCTTAGTGACTAATACCAAAGATTTAGATTTTCTATTTCTATTGCATTTTGTGTCAGTAATAGACTTATTTAAGGCAATTATTTCACTTATATCAAGTCAAATTAAATTGATGCTGATTGGACTGCAGTAAATTTTAAAGGTTGCCACATATTCTGAAGTATCTTTTTTCTTTGTTTAGACAAGGTTTGATTTCCACTACAGAGAACTTTACAAGATAAAATTAGACCACAGGAAACAAAGTAATTAAAACAATAAAAAACATTAATTTCCTTGGTCTGAAACTTTGACAACATTTCTTTTAATTAAATATCAATTTGAGATCTTAGATACATATACATGGCTCTTGAGAACTATATCTTCCCATTTAATTTAAAAGTGAATAGAAGAACCAGACGGATAAAATATAAAAACATCACCTATAGCTTGGACTCTTATTTAGATATTTGAACTTTAGACTGGAGCATGATTTCTTTATTCTTTTTGTTTGAAGGAACATGAGACTGGTACTTTCTTATTTCTTTAGTCTTGGGCTCTACTTGGATTTCCCTTATACCTTTCATGCTCCCAGGCTGCCAACAATAGCCTGGCAGTAGTGTCCAGACATCTACCCATATCTAAAAAAAAAATTAATAATTTAAAAGTAAGATTTAATAAATAAAATGAAATGTATTAACATAATTTGACCTAAATAATTCAATGTAATTTAATTTGTTTCCAGTTTCCATTCATTTATAAGTGTATAATATTTTAACAGTTGATGATTAAAGTTCTCAGTATATTAAAACTTTCTTTTTAATTCAGCTGATCATTTGGAACAATTCATGCTGTCATCTGTCTTTAAAGGGGACTGGTCTTCAAAATAAAAATTGTTCCTAAATTGCAGCTAATTGGTAAAAAAAGAATCACAGAAGACCCTACAACAAAAGCCAACATCTTATCCTTGTTGGTTAAATATGTTAGGGAAAAGCACTAAAGTCAAACTACTTTGTCAATAATGCAGAATCAAGACAGAAGCAAACCTGCAGATCGTTTGTTCCATTTCAAATTACAATCTCCTAAATGCTCATGTGCAGGTGTTTAGTCTTTTATAAATATAACAGGGAATTCTTACAGAAACATAAAGGTTAATAAAATTGTTTTAACATTTATTAGTTAGAAATTACATCTGCAGCACCACGGCCTAATGAAAGAAGCTTCTGTTCAAAAAATAAGAAACACTACTTAGAAATACTTGAAGAAATACAAGAAATACTAGTTAGAGCACAAGCCACCTGGAGAAAATATTACAGGGAGAAGTTTTAGAAGATTTAGGCAGGAAAATTATATAGATTTTTAAATTTTTTGCTGAAATGTCAAGGATAATTTTGAGGAATAGTGCACAAGTGATAAGTAGATTAAGGTTTTTGGTGAATGGAAGAAGGATATACAGCTATATAGAAATTCCCAAAACTGTACTTGTTCTTTGTTCTATGGAGAATTACATTCCTCTCAGTTCAGTGGATGCAAATTGCATCCTTTTTTATGCCGTGCGTTATAAGGCATTCATCACAGGCTGGAATAGATAGGAAAATATTTTATGCAGAAAAAATGCAGAAATGATTCAACTTGAGGAAAAAACTTTAAATATTTCTGCAGTCATATGATCCCATGTGTTTTCATGTTGCTTAAGATGAATCTATCAAAACATTGTGCATAAACTAGCTCAGAAGCACGCTGAGCATTTAAATAAAAGTCAACATCATTTTAGTGAAATTTTACTGCATCTCTACCCATTGAATATTTTGTCATGACTCTCTATAAATGTTAAGATTAGTACTAAAGGCAATGGTGTTGATCCAACAGGTCAAAAAGTCAAGGTGTTTTTATGGTTCTGTGCAAATTTAAATAACAAGGTAGCATTTTATTGTTTGCAAAATTTACTCTGTATCTATGGTAATAGTTTTTTTCCTGGCTGAATTAAAAATAATGCACATTAATTTTCTTTGTACTATTCTATAACTCAATTCAACTGAATATATGGATGATTAAAGAAATTATAATTCAAGTCCTAATATAAATAATCTTGAGCTACTTCAAAAGAATTAGATAAAATTCTATTTAAATTAGTACCATTTATCCTCCAATAAAGAGGTTAATTTTTTTTCTTTCTATAGTATTAAAACCATGCAAAACCTGTGAAATAAGCTCCTTGCCTGTGGTAAGGAGTTGATCATACCTGTGAATCCAGGTAGGCAGAGACACCGATAGCCTCCAAGACGGTTGATGCAGCTTCCTCCATGTAAACAAGGCAAAGTTTCACACTCATTCACATCCATCTCACACAGAGACCCATAGTATCCAGGTGCACAGTTACAAATGAATCTTTAGAAAAGGGAAATCAGGTATTTCAATGGAAGTAACAATGGGATCTATTGCAATATTTTAAAGCCATATGTATGTCCTGATGTCAATTTGGTGTCCTTAATCCTCATTCATATTAAAATAATGAACGGAGATTTCTCATTTCCATGTTTCTGAACCAAACAGGATGATTTCCTTTTTGTTATACTAATATAAAAATTTGGCACAATAATTTTAACTGAAGGTATAAGAAATGACTTAAGGGCTAATCATCTTCTGGCACAAGTCTCTGAATTACTTGTGAAGTGCTGTTGAACAAACACAGAGTTTGTAGCAATCTAACTCAAAATCAATTTTCTTCTCTTTCAGTCTTTTTCCAAATAAAACAACAAAAAAAAATTTAAAAGGGAAAAATATCAAGTTATGTAAAAGAAATTTTCCGTTCTATTTTCCTTTAAGGTCACGTAAAAAACAAAAAAACGGAGTCTGTAGCATTTGCTACATTTATCCTGTGTGGTGAAGGTCCCATCCAAACCCAGAATTAACACAAAGAAATCAGGGAAACGTTTTATTTAGTTGTAACTTACCTGTTTATGAGATCCAGGCAAGTTCCATTGTTCTTGCAGGGTCTTGATAAGCATTCATTAATCTCCACTTCACACAGGGTCCCAGTAAAGCCATGTTGGCAGGAACACCTAGCAAAAAGGATGTCACTACATTACTTTTTAGGTCATCGTAAAGAGTCCAGAAAAAAAATATGGCAGATGTTGAGAGGTATTAATTACACGGTACCAAAATCATGTTTGCTTTCTACTAAATTGCAAAGGGCAGTACTTTAACAAGCACCAAAAACCAGAATGGTCTGAAGATAAATAAGATTTTTGTTATCATTAGCTGAGGGCCACTGGCTTTGTGCTGACCCACTGTGCAAGGGCTTGCTCTGAACTTGCCTTGGCCTGAGCTGTTTTTCTCTTGTTTTGACACCTGACCTGCAGCCAACTGACTGATGTCTCTCATGCTATAGCTTCAGCTCTGGAATAGAGTCCATGGTGTGAGTGTGAGACACTGAGATGACCATGGTGTTACAAATGATAGCTTCTGTGTTCCACTCCTGAAGGATGGGATGACATCCAGAGGGACGTGGACAACCTTCAGATGCAGGCTCTTGGGAGATTTAATAAGACCAAGTACAAGGTGCTGCACCTGGGTCAAAGCAACCCTGATATGAACACAGGCTAGGGGATGAAAGGATTGAGAGCAGCCCTGCTGAGAAGGACTTGGGGGTCCTGGTGAGTGAGAGGGTCCAAGAAAGCCTGAGACTGAAGATGAGAAAAAACCCACTGTGAACATCATAGCTCTCCTGAAAAAGACTTCCAGACGCCAGTGACTTGCAGGAAGACTGACAGTTCTTGAGGAAGAGCAAAATCACTGATCACAGGATGCACACTGACATTGTGAGGGTAATCATAATCAAAGAGACATAATTGCATGATTTCTTATAAAACAGCTATAACTACATTCTTCATGAAGTTTTTCTGTTAATTTCAACTAAGATTGTTCATACTATCATAACTGGATTAACACTCTGCTTTTTAAAATTAGATCCTTATGATTTTAATTAGCCTTACAATAAATTCTTGGGATCATGCTTATGGTGTATATGTATTACTTTTTGCACACAAGAAGATCTAGCCTATAATATTAACTTTCATTAACTTTTGTAACTTCATGTTAACCCTTCCCCACCACCCCTTCACTGAAGGTCACCAAACATTAGACAGGCAAAGAACAAAAGGAAAAGCTAGATGATAAAAATCCATGTATCATATCTGTCATTCAAGTAATTTTCCTGACCTGTAATGGTTGACCCCATCCACACAGAGACCTCCATTCTGGCATGGATGGGAGATGCACTCATCACTGTTAACTTCGCAGTAAGTACCCTCAAATCCTGAAACACAGATTTCATTAACCATGAATGAACGAACTCTACTACTTCATGTGAATAAAAGGGTGACAGAGTCTCATGGAGGTTTGGCTATCTGAGCCCGGGACTAGCTCAGACAATGAAAGTGACCGGCCTGGCAAACCTCAGCTGTGCTCAAAGCTGTTTAAGAAAAGCCTGAGAGAAGCATCACCAATGGCTGTGTCTTCTCTTTGGGGCATTTAAGCTGAAACTCTTTGCCCTTGCTATCTGACTGAGCTGTGCTGCAGCCATGGCCAATGCCTAGCTGTGTAGTATGCTGACTTTGGCCTATAGACAGGTTCCCTGGCTAGACCTTGGATCTGCCACATTCCCTGTAGCCTTGACTGGCATCCTCTGCTGTTCCTGGACACAGCCACTGGTGCTGCCCTGCCTGCCTCATTCATATGCTGTCAGACTTCTGGGCAAACTTTGCTTTTGAAGGATCCAGCACTTACTGCTCACTGACCCTAAGACCAGGACTACAAAGTAACCCTGAAAGAACTTTCTCCAACTATTTTTCTTCCTTAGTTTCAGCAAGTTAATTTCCAGACAGTATATGAAATCTCAACATACTTTAATGAACGAGAGAGAACAGATTTGGGTAGAGCACCTGGATAAATATGGTGGGGAAATGTAATCCATTTTAAAGCACTGAAAAGACTTTCTTAGAGAGTGGGACAAAAACAGAAACTAAAAGCTAATTCAGTAATTAATATATTAGAGAGAGTAGTAGAAGTTAGAGGGCCACATTTATTCAAAGCAGTCCTTAGCTGAGAAGAAAACCCAATTGGTTTTAATATTTAAATGAAGAAAAAAATATGGTTAAGATCTTATCTGCACAGTACATTACTTGCATAATACATTACATATGCCTGTGTAAATTTTCCAGAATATGTACTAAAATGAAATAAGACACTTTTCAGTGACATATTTTCAGTGAGCCCTATTTCTGCTCTTAGACAGCATACTACATCTTATAACATTTGCATAAATAAGTGTTTTGCTAAATGCATACTTGTGTTAAAATTCTATACATACGGTTGAGAAACTATAGCTACTTAGTTGATTTTGGCACAAATTCAATATATTTGTTTTCAGTTGATGGAGAAATGAAACCATTGCAATGAGTAGACTACTTGCATTGTATGACTAATATGCAAGTGCTGACTGCAGGTTGCCTAAGACCATTAATAGAGTTAACCAAAGTGATTTTGAACATTATAGATAAAAAATTAAATTGAAACAACTTTAAATTTAGCTAATGAAATTCGTGATATATATTGCTATAAAGATGGCAAATATTCTACTGAATTATTTGAATTCTTTTTATTAAAACAATAAGTAAAAATTGTTATCTGTACTTTTTTAGATACCTGTATTAGAAAGATAATTTATTTTTTTTGTTATACTGTGTATTTGTGGTTTTCACAACCACAAAGTGGTTCACAAAGTGTGAAGGTGGGGAAATCACGGGAGACCACTGTTAGAATAATATTGCTTATTTTTATCTAGAGAAAATAATGACTGGAAGAAATAAGTGTCTTGGTCAGAGCTGCATAAAGCTGTAGAAAGAAATCTCTATTGGTACTCTCACATATGATCTAAACATGAACCCACATCAAAGCAGTTGGTATTTTCTTCTTATCAGGATTATTTCTATTCAATAACTTTAGGGCTTGACTGAAATGAGCTTTTAATATTTGCTGAAGATTTCACAGCAAAGTTACTATAAAGCTGGAAAAATAAAGCCTGGAACATTTCTCAAACTAGCCTTTAAGTTATAGTCACTTACCCTGTTATGATGTTATTCTTTTTTTCAGAAATTTCTTGAGCATTATTTATATCCTATTTGTTTGTTTCACAAAAAAATTACACAAAACAACAAAACCAAAACCAAATTAAAAAAAAAAAAAAAGCCCAAAACAAGCCATCAAAAAAACAACCAATCCCCCTAAAAGCTGTAAAAGAATTGTCATAATAACGAGGTAAAAATCTCTCTCAGTCTACTGTTTTGAAGTATCTCCCTCAGCACAGGCAACTTTGTTTTCTGAATGGCTTAGTTTATTTTGTACAAATGAGCCTGAACCAGAGCGGGCCATCCAAATACTTTTCTTACCTGTAGCATGTGTAATCCGCATCTTAATGCTGCTAAACCTACATCTATTCCTGTCTGTAGCTGGATTAACGAAAAAAGAAAGGTGAAAGAACTGTAAACTAATACACCACAGACCAAGTACTAGGCTTGATTGTGTGAGTGGGCAGAAGTCACTGACACACTAAATATTCAGTAAGTGTTTGATACATGCCATTCAGTGCCACTGAGTAAGAGCAGAAAAGATGACAACACATTTATCTAACCCTGGTTTTATTAAGAAATTGGAGGACATAATGAATATAAGACACTAGGACTCACTTTACTCTTTGTAGTAAACTTCCTCATCATGCTTTAAATTTCTAAAACAAAATTTGATTAATGAGTGGAAAGGCTGTCAATGAACAGGGAAAATGGAACTTCACTGAAAAGGACACACCAAAGGTAAACCAATGTAACAAATAACTCACAGATATATAGATATTTTTTAGCTTTATAAGGCTATTGCAGAAGAGTTGTGAAGATAGCAAAGTAAAACTAAAAAAAGAATTAACAATTTTTATGCAAAAGAACTTCTTACTTTTTGTGATACTATAGAATATTTAAACAAGCATCTTACAAAAAAATACCACAGTTATCAGATTAAAATATATAAAATGGAAAATGGAGATATTGCTCATTCTGCTTTTGCCTGTCATCTTCACTGGTTATGAATGTTTTATGGTCTTTTTGTAGTAAATAGTGCAGAAGCAAATATATAAAACATTATTTAAACACATTTTTTGAATGCAGTAGTACATATTTTTCTAGCCCATAGCTATATATCAATACCCTGAAAAGACATAAAATAAGCAAACATATAGCAGGCATTCTACTTTATTTTTACTGAAAATGGAAAAAATAACATTTTCATCACAAAATTTTACTGTTTATCTACTACATTATGAAATGAGCAATCTAAGTATTCAATTTACTATATTTTTTTTTACGTTTACTGGCAAATTATCTCAGTCCCTATTTATTAAAAAAATAATTCTCTCCTTTTCATAATGAAATATAGTATTAAAAATTACAGACAACTACTTAGGTGATATTTTGATCTGTGATGAAAACTTCTGAACTAATATGGTAACTTTTTTGAAGGAATTTTTAGCATTTTTAGCAATTTTACGTAAGATTTTATGAAAGCTTACTTTCAACTAAAATGTTTATTCAGAAACACACAGATCTGATTAAAAGGATTGCAAAATATTATTTCATTCATATATTCTTCATGTCTGACTTCTTGTATATTTAGAAATTATCAAGCTTTTATAAAGGATGTTTCAATAACATCATATGACAATAAGCGAATTTTAATTCAGCCCTTAAATATATTTTCAGAATAAATTACAAAAAGAAAGCAGAGCGCACATCACTTGTACAAACAGGAGAGGTCAAACTTCAAAACAAACACTGCAGTTATTAATAAAATATTTAATTTAGGAATATTATTGAACAGGCACCAATTATATTACCTTCAAATTCAAAAGACTAGTTAAAACGCACATACCTGAGTGGAACTGGTTTAAAGAAAGAATTGGTCGTTTATTTATATATGAATCAACATGCAAAGACTCTTGTATTTTATATGATGGTCATACACAATTCGAAGGGTATTTTAATTAATTAGGTTATTTCGTATAAGCTATGACTGCTGCCACACACAGCTGTGATGTGATAAAGTTTATAGGGGGATGTAATTTTTAGAGAAATGCAGACACGTTTCTATTTCATGTGTTGCAAGAGGAAATAAAAAAGACAATGAGGGGAACTGCTTTAAAATATTTAATATTTTAAATATATTACTGTATAAAACTATTTAGTAAATTACAACATTACCAACTTGATAACAGGCTTGCTACTGTAAAACGGTTTTTATCTGTCAAACATATTTTACTGTGTTTTTAATGTCACATTAGAAAAACTGAATGTCTAAACAGAATCTCATAAGTATTACTGGTATCCTCATACACTTTTAAAAAAAATTAAAAAATACAACAATTAGTTTAAAACATTTGTTTGTGAATGTATTGAACATGTATAAATATATTTGAGGAAGTATCTCAGAAAGATTAATGATTTTTGTAGCAACAAAACATAGTCAAAATTTTCAGAAATTAACAGAGATGAAAAACAACTGTAAGTTTTACAGTTTTTTGTGTTAGAAAATATAGTCTTATTGTTCTCTGTTTTTAATTGTTCAGGTGGCATGAAAATAACTTTAATGATATGAGATCTAGAAACATCTGGAAAGCTGTTACTTAAGATGAGACAGATGCTATTTTTGTTTCTGTTTCTCTGAAATATAGGAAATCCTGCATTTCTCAGCTCTGTCTATGGGCCTTCTGAGAGCTGCAAAGTGATGGAATATGCAGAATATAGAAGCTAAATATCTGCTGTCACCGTCATGGTCATTTTCATTTCCTCATTCTATTGCAGAGAAATATTACTGAATTGACCTCTGCAGGTAACAGGATTCTAACAGGATTGTTTTGCCGTAAGCTCTCTACTGTTTTGCTCATCCAAATAGTATCATAGATGTTTGTCTCCTTACCATGAACTACTTATGAACCAATGTTTGCAAACAGCAGAGGTATCATAGAAGTCCCATAATCATTAGTTCAGGTACTTAGGTTGTTCAGCATAACATAAGTAGGTACATAAATCAAAATCAAAGGTGTGTAAAATATTAGGCACTGTAAAAAGGCTATTTCCCTCTCTAAATTATGTATGTGTGTGTCTGAAAAAGAAACTGGCACTGAAGGGCTCAGAAATCTAACAATGACAAACTCCAATTTAAATAACTAGTTTTTCATCATCTATTTATTATTTCTGCTTGGTATTATAAATTTTGTACATTATAATTTTCACTTAGCCTTTATTACAGACATATTTTGCCTCGGTTCAAATTTCTAGCTATAAGATGCTCTATACCAAATAAAAATAATGACTAGCATCTAGAACAAAGAGTAGGTGTAATGTGAGAGCTATTGACAGGAGATTGATAAAAGAGGTGAAAACGTCCAGGGAAAATCTGTTTAAAACAAGGACTTCAGAAATTACCTTGAAGCATCAAGAAAGTATTGCTTTTAGACAGGACAAAGCAAAAATAGAATGCTTAATTCCAGTAAAAACTGTAGCTATTGTTTCTCCTTAGAGATGAGTCCTTTTCATAGATTTCCCTGGAACAATACATATAATTTCCCTACATCCTAAAACTGATGGCTTTAACCTTAAGCCCTATGCATAAACCAGTTTTTCAACATCTCAGCTTCTAGCTTTAAAGATATAAAGCTGCAATGAGCACAAATAAGATGACAAAGCTTTTGTGTACTTGTGTGCTGTAGTGACATATGTTGCTGCTCCCTGATCTTTTTACTCCTCTCTAAAATGGTGTGCTTCCCAGAACTATGAAATAAAAAAATAATAATAATTAAAAAAATCTTTACAGTAATAATAACAGCAAGAGGCAACTGGTCAAGAATTCAGCTTGCCCACCACCTGAAAGATTTTTCCTAAGGTGCCTAAATAGTCAGCAGAGTGACATAAATATTTCTGTAGCATTAGCCATTTGACTTTGTATGTCTACTTTTGTGTGAAAAGCAGTACATCAGAAAATAATACCTCTTTAATGTAATACTGTGGACATCAACATCCACAATCCAGATATTTCCAGTTTATTTCTTGAAACAATACATACAGTGTTCTATTGATCTAATTTCCCTACTACCACAACTAATTAAAATGTTACTTAGTTAACACAAAAACTGGCCAAATAATCCATATTTCTGAAAAGAGTAGGTAAAGCTTTGATATGAATTCTCTCTATATGTATGCAATACCTAATGTATAATATGTAGCATTTTCTGATAATTTTTCTATCACAACCCAACATGTATATGGAAATTTGCTTCCATTGTAATAAAGAGGCTGTGTGAACATCTTGAGCCTATCCCATCCATATTACTTGAACTAATGAAGGAAGCTCTACATCTAATTTTAAAGAGAGATTAATTTCTACCTTTTAAGAAGCTAGAAGTCTAGGAATCATTTTAATTCAATGATGTTGCCCTTCCCTTCCTGTCTTTATGTCACCAACAACTATCTACCATTCCTACTAGCTTGCCTTACTACTATACCTATATTTATTAATAGTCCTCATAAAAGAAAAAATCACTGTTAAAATAAGTCTTTTTAGAAAACAGTAGATATTTTCTGACTGTAGTTTATGGTTGCAAATTATTTTTTTATCTTGTTATTCTTTGCAATATTTATGTGCTTGTAATTTCACAAGTTTCATACCTTGTGAAAACTGTCACCTTATATCTCCCATTTCATCATTAATTAAACTTGTTATTCACCAATCCCAGCCAGAGAGCTGATCTTGTACTCAGTAGTTATGTGTACCCTCTCATAGTTTCCCTTGATTTTGAATACATTTTTTCATTAATTTTTTTTTGTCTTGGAGCACAATTGTTCTCAGAAAGCATCACTATTTTTACCAAATTTTTCTATCTTTCTTTCGGGTTGCCTCTACAAAACTAACAGTTTTGTGCTTGCCATTATCTAGAAGAGCATGGTCTAATGTCTATACTCTTGTTTATTTTCCCTCTATTTTAGTTTCATATGCAGTTGAATTGCTCTTTGGATCTTTTTCATGTAGACCTTGGGGAATTTGTGAATAGTGGCTGAGGCTCAGCGACAAATATTTCAACATTATTTAAATTCTATAATTTTGCTTACATGTCCTGTCTTGCTCTTCTGTTACACTAAATTTTCATTGCTATTATTAAGATTAATTCTAAGAATGGAATTCTCCAATACTGGAAAAGCATGTTGATAAATTAGGCAATAAAAATTCTGCTATTTGCCCTAAGTTTTCCATTCCTCCTGTTTTCTTTGCATTTAGTGTACAGTATTTAAGGAGATTTAGTGCTGGCTATACGATTAACAGCTCAAACTCCTATGTCCTCCAATTGTCTTGATGAAACCCTTTCTTATCAATTACTGGCAAAGTATTTCAGAGGGGTTTTCTGTACATCTCTTGGGAAACTTGTTATATAGCAGTGATTTCTAAGCTTCTGCAATAATGGCCCTCCCTACGACATTCTTGCAATCTTGGATATACTCTCGTGCAATTGTAGAGAACATAATTTTTTAAACTTTTTAACCTTCTTGTGTGGACAATTTAATTAAAGTCATGGTCTAACACTGTTCCATGAGAGCCCTTCCATATGAGAACCCAGTTTTGTTACACAAATATTATAATCTATATCCTTGCAGGAGGAAAACCTCTATGTCTAGGGCAAACGTCTCAACAGTAAGTTTTACATTAATGATACTTATAGAATTTTAGAACTCTTTATAGCAAAATCCTGCAGCTGTAGTTCCTCCATGTACATACAGGAATCAAGATGAAGCTTTGTTTTATACTACAGCTAATCGTGACTTCATCAGCTTCCTATCAATTTGCTGTGGTAATTCTGTCCTAAACTAACATCTTACATCAACTTTGATTCTGCCCAATTCATATTCTATCAGCTTTTGTCTTCTCTGACCTAGCCAGTGTGTATTCTCTTTTTCTTCTAAATATGTACCACTTTCAATGGTATAATTTATGCTCCTGTTGTACCCATCTCAGAGGTTTCTATGGATAGTTGTTAGACTTTGGTAAGCGCTGCTACATTTTGTGGTTCCTGCTATACCAGACTCAAACTTTCTAGTGACTGGGCCGTTGGCTAACTGGCAAGTTTAATCCACGTGCCATTTACTACTAAGTCAAGTGTCTTGGAGTAAGCTATTTATGTCAGTGTGATTGCCCTTTGTGATCAGGTCTATACCCCTGACAAGTTTGTCAGGAGAAAAAAGGAGGAACATGCAAGACGAAAGTAGATAAATAATAATAAAAAAAGAGAACAGAGGAATTAGATTTCCTCAATCTGCTTTCAGCTAAATTTCTGTATTTTTCTGTCTCTCTTTTTTTTGGATAAGAGTCCTGAATAACTGGTTGCATTTCTCCTAGCGTGAGTGATGAACTCACTTTATGAATTATGCTTTTTATCTCTTTTCAATTCTGAATTTTCTGCTTTCGAAGATTTGTTAGTAACGTATGTTACTGATTCAAGTAACTGTCCTACAACTTCCCCAAGGATTCCTAGCTGCAAGGTTCAAGAATTCTTAAAAATTCCATCAAAGCTCCCAGAGAATCCTGGCTGCATGATTTTTTGATTCTTCAGAAATGGTGCACAAAAATATTTGCAAAAGACTACTTTTTCTGAGGAATGTTAAGAAAATACTTGAGTTACATGTCTCTCTATAGATCATTTCTGAAAAGGGTTTCAAAAATCAATATCTCATGTCAAAAGCTGTTTTTGAAAAACAGCTTTTCTTAAAGATGCTTCACTAAACAACTTGCATACCTCCCCAGTGATGTTTAGGTTTTTAAACTCAGAAGCTTATGGTAACCTTTACCTTAATAGTAAAAAACCCCCAAGGTACTATATGCTCCTGATTCCTAGATATTATATCTATATCTTCGTAGCTTAATAAATGACAAGTAATAGTATTGCCATGTAACACTGCAGTTATCTGCTATCCTTTGTCCCTATGCGACCCCTACCTTTACAGGCATAACAGTGAAGACTTCAAAATCCTGCTCCAATTCCAGTTTCAGTAATTGTACTCCCCGGCTACTTACATTTTCTAAATTTTCAGTGCAGTTGTTAATTAATGAATGTGTTCTTCAGTTCCTACATGGAAGCACATAGCAAAGTTCTGCACAGTTGAACTGTTGCTCCGTTCCACCTTAGCAGCTCTTGTACATTGAGGGAGAGATTGTGTCTTTTAAGCCATAGCCCAGGGAAGCTGTCAGCACCTGCTGTGATTTGGTTTGTTGTGCATATAGGGAGCACCCTGCTATATCCATTAGGCAAGGGAAGATTACTTCCCTGATGTGCCAGGCCTTCCTGACAGCTCATCAGGAAAAGAAACCATGCTCCAATTTTTGTACTTTCACCAATTTGCATATATTTTTTCTAAATCTGCCTGTCTGTTTTGTCAATTTAGTTTGTCTGTGCTGGCCAGGTGCATGTCTATCTCCATGTCATTGTAACAATTGACTGAGAAATACTAATTCTGAGTGCTGAATCTAAGCCACCATAGATTTAACAAGTATTGTAAAATAAGAAATTAATAACAGGTAAACTGACAGATATCTTTCTAGTCGTTTAGCACAACTGATAGACCTGCTGCGATTTTATGTTCTTTGAATCATATTCTTTTCTACTTACATTAACGATAGTCATAAATTCAACATATATTTGCAATTTTCCAGAGCACAACAGAAAATGGAAGAAATTAACTAATCCAGTTCTTACCTGTTTTGCAAATGCACATTGGACTTCCATCTACTTGTGCCAAGCAGGTTGAATTGTTTATACATGGATTGTAAGGCAGCTCACAGGGACTGAAGCGCTGGTGGCAGAAGTCACCAGTATAAAATGGAGGACAAATGCATACAAACTGTCCCGGCTTCACAGATTCAAAACAGGTGGCTCCATTCAAGCATGGTTCAGATTCACATTCATTTATATCTTCACTGCAGTCTGGCCCTGTCCAGCCTGCTGTGCATGTGCATCTGGAGGGGTGAAAAAAAAAAGAGCATTGGTGTGGCAGAATAAAAATTAACAGCGTAATCACTTCCAACCTTTTATATTTTAAAAATAACAAAAAAAATAAAATTAAGAACTCCAAAACCAATAATGTATTCCTGTGACTTGCTTTTCTTTTCCTGGCAATTGTATCAGAATGCATTATGAATAAAAGTTATATTCACGTTATTTCCCAGAAATTATCTGAGCAAAAGCAAAAGGACTTCTAAATCAAAGTATCACTTGGAAAACCATCTGGTTTAGGCAATGCAGACAATCATGTTTAGATCATTTTTGGATGAAACAGAAGCAAAAATTATCAAATATGAAATGCAAATTTTCTAAATGTTAAGGATTAGAAGGACATATTTTCATATGTGTGAAACTAGTAAGTACTTCAATGTTTGGGATGAAATGCATCAAGTAGCATATCCAGTACGCTTAAGAAAGAATGTAGGAGTCATGAAGGATCCTAATTTCGTTGTGTTTTTTCTCTTTTTGAATGCTTTTGTGAAGATGTGTTAGTGACATCACATAAGAGAAAACTTCAACCAAAATCTAAATTACATCTGATTATAAGGGACCTATCTTCATGAATTCGATATTTTTTTTTTATTCACAAGATAAACATGATGAATTTCTGTAAATTCAAAGAAAACAATTTGCTAACGTTTTCAAAGCTTGCAGAGCCAAATTTCTTCACTAGCTGCAATATGTACTTTAAAATGTACTTTATAATGTACTTTAAAAGTCATACATTCCTGTTACTTTCACTGTAAAAATTTAATTTTATTTTATTTTTGCAGCTATTTGGCAGGACAAGAGAAAATATGGAAGATTAACTATTCCAGCTCTTGTCTACTTTGATCAATATTGATTTCAGGTATTAAACCATTCAAATATATCTTCATAGTTATAATTTGATAAGAGAAATTGTTCTTACATAAGAAACAAGTCATTTAATGGAAAATGTTACGTAGTTCTGTTTTGTAAGGAATAGGTATTGCTTCCCACATGGAAGGCAGATTTCATCCCTTAAAAAAAACCAAATGTTTTCTTTCAATTTTTTGGTGCTCTGTGTTATTTATTTGTGGGATACAATTATCATGTCACATAAAATGGAATAGATATTAAAAAGTAACTTTAAAGTTTTAAAGTAAAGACCTCAGTATTTTAGTATTAAGGATCCAAAAATCAGGTTACTGTATTTTTCTCATGTTAAAAAATAATAGTCATTACTATCAAAAAGCATTCAGACATTCTTAAGATAACTGGCAAAAATTCCATTTCAGGACTCATCATTTACAGTACTCAAAACATACTTTTGGAAATATGGTTAAAAATAAATATCTGTTTTTATTCTCTGTTTATGCACAACAAACATACCTGCTTTTGCTATACATAGCAGAATGCATTTATTATCTAGAAGCAACTTCCACTGAATAACACTGCATGCCCCATCAGTGCTTTACTGAATTTTCCCTTACGTAGTCAATATATAAAAGCATCAGACTCTACAAATTAAGCATCTCCAAATGTCTCACACTGAACACAGGAGAACCCTCTGACCCAATAGATCAGAACACAGATGTTAATTTTTTTTACAGCTCCTCTTTTTTTTGGTTGACTTCTTTTATGAAGTTGTGAATAAATTACTACTGATGCACTACTACAAATTGGTATGTAGCACTTGGTTATGCTCCTTTTTAGCTTAAAAAGCTCATTAAATGGAAAGCCTTTCACTTTGTATTAGGAGAACACAGTTCAATTCTGACCTGGTCCGACTTTATAGACATAAATGAGGTGCAGAGGAGCAAACATTTACACGTTTCATTCCCTTTTTTTCCCCTAATGAGTTTCATAACTGCCTTTGAGTTATCAAAACTATTCTATATGACTACAGGGAACATTAGGTCACTGAAACATAGCAGTTATCTGCACTACACAACTAGCCAGTCCTACCCTGGCTTCATGCACGCTACCAGCTGAGATGCAACAGCCAATATTAGTGCAAAGGAGACAATTAATAACATAGCTTTTTGTACTCCTTTCTGGATTATTAAAAAAATTACAAGTCCTCATTAAATGTGAAAAAAAACCCAAACCCAAACATAGAAGCATCTATCCTGAGGCCCAGTTTTAAGAATCAAGACAAAATTTTGTGTTAATGAGAACTGTTATTTAAAAATAGTAAGGAGGTGCTAGGACTATTAAAAGAAAATTATAAATTAAGTTATTATAGCTGGTATTCTTGGAAATTAACTGATCAAAAGGCAAGAACCCAAAGAGAATTTTTAAAAATGACTAAATTTTTCACTCCATTAGAAAAATCAAGATGATTTCTAGAATTCTCTTGGGGAAAAAAAGGCTGATCTATGTTTTTAAGAGCCCATATAAAGATAGTCAATGCTGATTTTCCCTCTAATGTTTTACCAGCTTGCCAACATAAATATTTTTCTTTCCAATAACCAAATCCAAATACATCCATCGATTTTAGAAAACAGAATCATTACTCTTGTATGTAAACTATTCATTTTAGTAATATAAGCCCCATATTCTGCTTTGATTGTGACATGTAACTCCTCCAACACATCTCCAAATCATCTTCCATAAGAATTCACTCTTTACTTTCCATACATCTCTCCATAAATTGAAAAGTTTCTATAGAAACACAAACAAAAGGAGAGGTCAATGCAAATACACAAATTGTATTCATGGTTTTATACTTACCACCTGTTTTAATATTAAAGTCAAAATTTAAAATTGCAAGCTATAGTCATGAATTGTGTACAGAGAAGTAATGTTAATGTTATAAGTTCCTCCGTCTCTAAATGATGAGTTAAGTATTTTATTTGGTTCTTACCTGCTTGAAAAGATTTTACTTCTAACATTCCAGCCAAATGTATATGTATCACCTGCCTTATATTCTACCTTAAAGGTTTTAAGGAATTAAATAACAGGGAAGAGTGTTAAGAATATCTGAAATGTTTATTTTGGAAAGAAGTTTCTGAGGTTCATCTAGACTCCCCTGCTCAAAACAGGTACAACAAGATTTGTTTCAGATCTGTGTCCAGCCTGGTTTTGAGTATCTCAAAGATGGAGATTCCTCTCTGAGCAATCTATTTCAGCACATGACCACCCTCACATTTAAAAAAAGGAGTATTTTTTTTTAATTTTACTTAGAACTTAATGTAGTTTACCTTCTACCCTTCTAACTTAACCAAAGCATGTGGTGTGAAAAAGAGTATTTTTAAAATTTTCACTTAGAATTTAACATAGTTTACCTTCTACCCTTCTAGCTTAACAAAAGCGTGTGGTGTGGCTTGGGGATGGTCCTGTGCAGGGACATGAGTTGGACACAATGATCCTTGTTGGTCCTTTCCAACTCAGCATATTCTGTGATAAGCAGTAATGTAGTTGAAGATTCCAGAGTAGAACAAATTTCAGAAGAAGTATTTTTTTTTTTTTGCTTTTAGACCTCTTTATAGCAGAAAGATACAAGAAGCCAGTCTTTTTAGTCTTCTGTATAAAAAACTATTTAGAAAATATCAATCAGAGCACTAACCTTTGCTACAGATAAAGATGGTTTGCAGACAACATTGCAATACTTAACCACTAGAACTGCTTGTTCCTCAGTCGTTCAGTCAAAGCAGCAGGAATCTTAAACTGAACCCTCAGCTACAGTGTGCCCATCATTCAACTGCCTCTTTGACAGATTCTTGATAAGAAATGGCAAGACATGCAGTGAAGTTTAGGTCAGCCTGTTAGCCATACAATACACGCAACAATGGGCCATTCTAGAGTAAGGATTTATGTTGTTTAGTGCATTCAATCAAATCAACTAACAGCCTGAGAAACCACAGTGCTCAGTGACAAATTTATTCCTTGTAAGCTGGAGGCTATTGGATCATCTGAAGTAGTGAAATAAAAGCTTGCTTTGCACAGCTTGAAATCTAGGGCACCAATAGACATCATAAAGCTCCAAGGACATACACTTCCAGTCACTACAAAGGCTTCAAACACTTGTGTTTCTAAATTTTCTTTCCTCCTACAAACTCTTTTTTTTTTTCTTTCATACTCTCAAAGTTTAATAAGTTCTTTGTTCCACAGACAGATACCAGACCAGTTTCACCAGCTTCAACCTGTAAAAGTTGTCATGAGTTTATCTCTGAAGTTCTTGTACTTCTGGTTCTCTGCTCTCATATACCAGCACTAGATGGTCTCCTCAAATTTTCACCTATGCCTCTCCTCCTCTCCACTAAATTCATTTGAGCCTGCCTTTACTATCACTACCATTATTCATTCCCTACTTTATTTTTAGAGCTCTCTTTTATAACCAAGCAAATGTGACTCCAATTAGCTAATTAGAGAAAGCATTAAGCTAGGCTGCAATGCTTATGCTCTGATTGAATTAACTATCTTGAGGGATATAGGACAATAGAGGAGTAGTCAGGACCCTGAATTTTAAGAGGAAACTTTCAGTTGATTAGCAATTTAGATTAGATTTCAGTGTTGGGATCCATGGGATCCCCTAGGAAATGGCCTTCAGGAAAAAGAGATCTGAACAAAGCTGGTAGCTCTTTAAGGACATATTTTTTAGAGCACAGTTCTTGATTTCCACATGTAAGAAATCAGGTAAAGAAGGCACAATACCAGCATGCCTTAGAAAGTATCTCCTGGGTAAACTGAAGTGTAAGAACGAAATGCACAGGTGAAGAATAAGGGATATTCCTACTGGGAAGAATATGAGATATTGTCTGGATATGTAGTAGTGGCATTAGGAAAGCTAAGCCTATTTGGAGCTTAATTTGGTAAGAGCTGCCAAGACTAAAAAAGGATTTACAGGTACGTTTGCCACAAAAGTGAGGTTAAAGAAAATGTATCTCTGCAATAAATAAGACAGGAGAACTGGCAACAACGAACAGCGAGGAGACTGAGATATTCAACATTTTTACTTTCCTCAGTTTTTACTGTTAATCTCACTTCC